GATTCTTGGCCAGCTTGAAAGACGTTCATCTCTTCCTTATCGGATTCTTGATCCGCTTTCATCTCCTCTTGGCCCACATTAATTTCTTTTTTAAATACAGCAAAGCCTATTCTAAGCTGTCTTAACTGTTCTTCCATCGCTCTTGTGATTGGCATTCAAAACCCACTTCTGACACCAAAAATTGTTCGTACGTACGGGTTGGTAATTGATTGAATGCACAAATCTTATGAAAAGTTAATAAAATTTATTCTTATCACAAGAAATAAAACAAAACGCTGGAATTTTTCCTCACAGATGTTCGTACAATATCAATATGTCACACAGTTATATTTTAAACTACTAACGTTAAATAGAACACAATTCAAAGCGCAGAGAAAGCTAATCCGATTTCAGTATTACAACAGCTAAGTAAACAACTGAACTGAGTTGTTTTTCTTCGGCTTTTATAAGCTTTTTAATCAGTCACGAGAAGCTTCTTGTATTTTCTCGGTTCGATTAAACCTCTCTTCTGGAAAGCGAAAGAGTAGAATTACGAGATATCTATTTATTAAATGCGCGTGCTCCTGAATTTTTACTTTTCCGGCGTAGCTTTCTCTCAAAATAAGTCTCGTGCTGCATTGCATGGGGAAGTAAAACAATTTTAATTATAATTCTATTAAAAATAGCAAATTAAATACAAAATCTGTAACATTATTCTTCCCTTCCCTAACCACTGCTCTGTCATTCTCGTGCCGCTTTGCTTCTCAGATGCCTACGTCTTAAGATTAAAAAGCCAATGTATATAGAAATTTATCATATTAAATTATGATTGAATAAATGTCTGCTAACGTATTTGGATATATGTGAAAATAAAGACTGGTGTTTGTCGAAATTCAGTTTTGTTGCCTTCATTTGTATACCTTAACCAGTAGCCATGATTGTTATGGAAAGGTGTTAATAGTTCCAGGCTTCGACTGAGAATTCAAAATCATTACAAATATAGTATATGTATATGTGTGTGTGTGCATTTATATGCAAGATATGTTTTTATGATTTAAGCTATAGTTATATATATTTTTTTATTTTCCTTTCTATTACTTTTGTTAAAATTTGTTATATTTTTACTCATTAGCAAATCGTTTTTAATGCATCATTCCAACGTTTTCTGCTTATTGATATCTACGATACATATCATATCTGTAGTTACGTGATAGGTATAATTCATGAATAAATAGAATTATTGATATAATCCTCAGTTGCTAAAATTTTTTTTTTAAATTCAAATTCAATAGGAATATTAAACACGCGTGCGCGATGCTATATATCAATGATTTGATTTATGACATTGTTGCATAACCTTTTAAGACAAAAAAAAATTTGATCATAAAATTCGTCTTAACAAATATAGTTTAGAGACATAAAACCTTTCAGAAATTTTTTCGCAAAAGATCATACATTAAATTATGCTTATGTTTCTTCAAATAACTGCAGTTTTGGAAAGGCCATTCATTTCTTTCTCCCTTTAAAATATACATTAACTTCTCCCATTTCTTTTTTCTGTGCTCTCTCTGAGCCTCCAGCAATGTAGAGGTGAGACAGACTAGTTGCCATGCAATAAACTTCACTTTATTTCATTTCGCAATTTCCACTTCATTTTCCCCCACGGAATTTGAAGGCGTAAGATCAACACCTTCTAATAGAAGAACTCCTCAGCGCAGGGTAGTAATTTGAAGCAATGTATTCGCAAGAATAGTGATTTTCTGCTCCACTACCTTAAGGTGAGAAATCCAAGAAAGTCTATTGTTGATTGTGTAATCCGAAAAGGTAAGGGTGGATACATTTTTTATCTCCTTCTCCAGATAAATCTAAGTTTGAAGAACTTGATTTTTCGTCCTTATAATAGTTAGATCTGCAAAGCTTAAATATGGGATTTCTTTTCAGCTGACCCTTTCTACCTATTTGCAATAGTTCTGTTTTGAAAGGGGACATCAACAGTTTGTGGCTCTTTGTCCACTTTACAGAAATATCCAGGACGTACTGGAAGCAGTTAGTATCGCTGCCAGCTGTATCGATGAACTGGGTTCGAATCCCAGAGAAGGTATGGTAAGTGTACAGTGTCTGTGCGGAAAGGGAACACACAAAATATAAGATGAGCCGAGAGTCTTTCGAGAGGTTGGTGGTAAGGAAAGAGGGATAGCAGACCCACGGATCGCCTCGAAAGGAGTAGCGGATAATAGAAGATTGCTGAAGGGATGACAATAATGCTGTAAGGCAGTGATGGCACGCATGCCACAGTCGGCACACAGAGCCTCATCAGCCGGCAAGCGACTAAAATATACTTCCTTAATCAATAATCACAATAAAATGATACTATGTAATAAGTGTGTTTTTGAATGTTTCACTTACTTGCTTATCGAATAATACCACTGGCATAGGGCCTAAGCCTAGATTTCAAATTTTCATATATCGCCAGAGAAATGATATACATATTTATTGACCCAATTTATGACGTTTCAATTATTTGGGCCAATCATATTACTTGTTACAAGGCAAAGAATACGCCAATGTTGAAGCAGTTAATGTTTGCTAAACGAATTCAAATTTATTTTAATACTTTCACTGTTCCGGTGAGTTTTAATACTTTTATTGTTAGATAGATTCCAGTTTCCAAATCTACGCATTTTGAGGTAATTTATGAATAATTCTAATTTAATATCTTAAACGGAATGTACAAATATAATGTAAAAACATGCAATTTGATAATATAGCAAAACACGAAAGCTTAGTAGGGAAACCAAGCTTATTCACATGCGCTCATCCAAAATAAGCCAAATAAAGCCGAAAATGAGCATATGAAATCTAAAGTTAGAAGTTCAGCAAAGAGATATCCGGGTTAACGGTTACTGCTGTTCCCCGTTCATATTTGAATCTGCAGCCATAGATTGCTGATTCGTGAAAATACAATTTCTTACCATTGGCTAATAATGTTGCCTCTTTTTAATATATGACCGATTTATATTTAATGCTTCATTTTTAAATTTTGTGTTTTTCTATTTTACACAATTTGCACACAGTCCTTCAAGTCATAAAGAAATCAAGGAATTCTCAAGCATCGTAGCAGCTGCAAAGGAGAATTTTAAAGAGACAACTTTCTACAGTTCCGTCAGGATGGAAGCAACCGCATGTGTTTTTTTACTTCTCCAGATAAATCTAAGTTTGAAGAACTTGATTTTTCGTCCTTATAATAGTTAGACCTTGAAAATCTGGAAATGAAGCTATTGGAATTTCAAGAAAGCTCTACGTGAAAAAGAAAATTCTGTGATCTGCATGCAACACTTGAGAAGATGGAGTGTAAAGAGATCACGCAATACAGCACAATTGATAGTTATTGAAAATGAAATCCTTAAAGCGTGGAATAAGTTTAAATCAATGAAAACAATTGGAGGTGCTATTCTTACTTCGTTTGGATCATCTTATGCTTTTGAACAGCTGTTTTCAGCTTTGAATTATATCAAATGTGACACAAGAAACAGACTGACAGGTAACCTGAATGCTGCATATGTTGCGCTCAAATTAATGAATTATGCGCTAAGGTTTGACAAATTATCAATATGTATACAACAGCAAAAATTTCATTAATTACGCAAAACCAATCTATTTCCTGTAATAAAAAGTTTTTTGTATCTTTGAAAACTCTTGTTTTGTTTTTTAAGCCCTAAGACAAGTGTGTGTTGTTTTGCTAAGCCAAACTACCATTTTCAGGTTTAATTAGAGTGTTAACACTTTGCTATAAATAAATGGGTATTGGGTGAATTTTGGGCACGCGGCCCCAAAAAGGTTCTCCACCCTGTTGTAAGGCTTTTTTAAGTCAATAAGGTCGGCAGCCATCCCTTGCAGAGTTTGGGTGTACTGCAAAACTAGTACAGCAGGATAATACCCGGAAGACCATCGGTGAAATTCTGGTAAACCGCCCACTTCTACCTGTACCTGAGAAAAATTATGCGCTTTATTCAGAATGTTATTTCTCTAATAAAATTAAACTGCAAAGTTCTTGGATCGTAACTGACTCTTGGAACATAAGAGTATTCGTAATATAATCAAGTTCAAAAAATAATAAAAGATAAGCATCCAAATTTGCATTGTTAAGGAACAATTTAGATTATAGATTCATTTATTAGGAAATAAATTTCCAGCAAATATGTTTTTATACACTAAATGATGATAGAATAACAGGCAAAAATTACTTCGAATCATACTTTTGCATTTATTTCCTATTAGGTACAAGATCTGCGCATTTAAACATAATTGTTTTTTTTTATCGCTAAATGTCACCTTCTGTTATTAATATGGCATTCTGAGTTAGAAACAAAAGATATTCATTGTACAGTTCCATTAGCAGTTAGCGAATTTAATCAATACTATCTCAAAACAGAGTCATCATGCAGCCACAAAATATGAGGAAAGAAAGATTGTTATTAAAAAAAAAAAAAAAAAAACTATGTCACGCTATGATAAATTCCGAGAAAAACTTAACTGAATTCACGGAGACGATGTTTTAGATGTTTCTTCGACGCAGAAAAATATCATACATTTCCATGTCTGTTTATTGCAGATAGCTCTGTTTTCCGAAATGTTTTGTGACACGACTTTCCACTTTAAAAAGAAAATATGAATTTTTTGTTAATTATTTTATTTTTAGAAAAAATTTTTAATATATAAAAATGATTGGAAAACGTACACGTCAAGAGAAACCCATGTTTCAAGTTAATCCATTTATAAAAGTTACATTGTTATTTTCAATAACTAAAAACATCTGATCTGTTATATGAGATACTACAATTTCTTTAAAAGAAATCCAGTTTTAACAAAAATAATTTCTTACTAAACAACACTTAATACAGAAAGCAGACGATTTTAAAAGCTAAGCAGACAGCCGTGCATTTAAAGTCGTTTGCATTTCTGATGTAAAGGTGTTCCTGCAAACGATAATTTCTTTATTAAACCTATAATAAAACTTGCGTTTTCTTTTGCCGTCAGTCGTGGGGAAATTCCATTCGCTTCGCATTAGTCAATTGAAGACCTGATTTATTCAACTCAAATATCCGACAATAAAATGCCGAATCGAGGAGAACGTTTCCAACATAAACTGTGGCGTACTGTAAATGAATGCAAAACTGGAAGCATTTCTTGGAATAGTGCCGGGAATTCAATAATTATTAATTTTCCCAAATTTAAAAAAGAGTACCTTGAAGATGGTGACTTTTCCAAAAGTAATAAAATTCCGAGTTTTGTGCGACAATTAAATTTATATGGTTTCAGGAAAGAAATGAAAGTAAAAAGTAATTGCAGAGATGAACATGAATTTAAGAATGATTGCTTCATACGAGGAAGAAAGGACTTGCTGCGTCATGTTGTGAGAAATTCGTCTTCACCAAGTATACCGGTATGTTTATTTCAAAGTTAATTAAGGTTTTTTTTAAAGATTAAAAATTATTCAAATCCTTAATTTTAATATGTACAGGATTTCTATTTTTTAATATAAAAAACGATATTTAAAAAAAATCTCGTTTCTAAGTCAGATTTTATAAAATTAGACATTTCCGTTACTGCCATTCGGCTATAATTAAATGATACATTATATAGATTCTGAAATAGGTTTGACAATATTTAAAAATTATTAAACAAATGCTTTCTATTACACAGAAAATGATGAATCACGTAATTTTTATCAGTCATATTAGTGATTTTCAAGCTTTATTGAATAAAAAGGTTCTCCACCCCTATTGTAAGGCTTTTTTAAGTCAATAAGGTCGGCAGCCATCCCTTGCAGAATTTGGGCATACAAGAATAAAATTTCGAAGGTTATTTTATGATCTAAAAACGGGTATTGAGATGTATAGAAATTGAATAGCTATAGCTGTAATTACTATTTTAAAATTAATATGGACATATTATATTTATTGCAAAAGCTCTTTATCACTTGTTAAACTATTTAAAATTTATTTTATTTAAATACTTATTTATGGCTAAAATTTTTAATTCCTTACCAACCCAAATCTTTCGCATGCACCTGCGGAGTTTTTCTCTGCGCAGCGTTCGATTACAGCTGCCACCAGGAGTCAAACCAAAAGCTGTTTTTATTGTAATACCTAGAATTCAAGTAGCTCGTGCGGACAAGAGTAGAGATTAACCATATCTAAACTAATCAGATTCTTTTCGAAAAATTGTTATTTAAAAAACAGCTGGACGAACTAAAAAATACTTTTTTTTTATGATGTGTTTTTGATCTATAAAAAGTAAAACTCAACGATGCATGTTGACTGTTTTTCGAATTTTATCCACAGACAGAAGAAACAGAGCTCTTTTGCAAACAGTAATCAAGTAACTCGAATTAAATTAAAGAATAGCAGGGTTTTCTAATGCGGAGGACAATATTTAAATAGCAAGGAATTTTTGGCAGGACTTGGGAACTTGTTTTCATAACATAGCTGCGTAAATTCTGGAAAACTCAATTTTATTTTTACATATTATAAATTTATCTTATATCAGGTATTACTAAGCACTAGATAAACAGAACATAAGAATAACAAAATAATATGAAAATAATAACAAAAAGTAATTATTAAAATGGTTATAAATCTGTAGAAATCCTTGACTAATTCAAAATGATTTTAATATAAAATATACTAGTTGCTAAAATTCTGCTGAGAAATTTTTAGATATTTTAATGAGTTGATCAATTTTTAATTAGTAATGGTATTTTTTAAAAACTTTTGTTGCTATCAATAAACTATAAATCAACAGCTTAAAATTTTACATGTGTTTACAAAAGAAGATGCTCTAGGCAATTCTAATTTGATCAGATAAAAACCTATTGCTCCTCAATCAGTATCTGAACCAATAACTATTTATTTATTTATTAACTACAAACTAATTTACTTAATTAAAAAATTAACATGCATTTAAACTTACTGCTGTAAGAACACACACAACACACAAACACACACACACACAAAAAAAGGGGATTAGTTTATGATATGTTAAGTTTGGAGGAGTTAGCTAAGTTCTTATGTTTTCCCATTCATTTCAAAACCTGATGCTAAAAAACATTATCACTATGCCTCTTAAACAATTTTTCTATTTTCAGATAATTAATGAAATTAGAAATAACTTGGATTCTACATTTTTCATTGCTTATTAGGCAACATGATCTCTAATGCCTATTCATTTTATAGTAAAACATACAACTTTCAGATTTTTAGATCACCATTATCATCATCAGCAGCAGCACACATATGCACACAAAATTACTAATCACTAGTGAAGAACAATATTTTTTAATACATTAACAAGAGAGCAAATAGCTTTAAAATTTAGATACAACATGGGAATTTCAATCAACAAAATATTCCTTTGCTTTTAGTTAGCATAGACAAGCATTACTTCTTAAAAATATGCATAAAGAGTTATTCAAAAAAGATCCAATATTTTTAAATGTAGATATATTATTTACATAAATGACAATGATATCAAACAATATCATTAAACGTTTTATTATTACAGGAGATCATGCTTCAGATTCTCCTCTCACCAAGGAGTTTTTGTATAGTTTATATTTCTTGGATCGCCATTCGGATGGCATAGTGGTAAGGAGAGCCTAATGTGGTACCGAAAAGGCTGTGTTCAAATCCTCGAGAAGGCATGGTTGCAACTACCTGACCCTTCATAGAAGGCAGCAGTGGCCACCTACTAGGTGTATCCACAATAAAATGACTTTTAGCCTTAGGAATGGTCGATGCAAGTGCCCGTCATTGGATAAATAGATAAATAAATAAATAAATAAATAATAATAATAATAATAAAAAAAAACAAACACCATGTTTGGATGTAAATCCTAACGATGCACTTAAATTATTTACAAACCAAATATTGAGTATCAGTCAAGAAAAAAGCCTAAAAAGCAGTGATAATAACCATTTATAATTTACGTTACTCAAGATTACCTGAATGAATATAAATACACTAATAATTGTAAAATACTCTCCAACTATTACCCTGAATGATCCGATAGAATAATTACAGTTGGTCATCATTCTTCATGGATTAACTCTCTGGTTTCAGCTTCCTGTGACACAACATATATGAGAATAATCTATCATGGCACAACTGATGAACAGAAAAATATTATTACAGCTATGTTAGAGAAAGACTTTGAAGAAATGCCAGCTCATGTAAATAAAACTTTCAGTTAATGTTTGCAAAAAATATTGGAGGTAGAACTGCATATTAAAAATTCAGTAATTTGATTTGAATAAAAGATCTCAAATCATACTAATACCATCATTCATACTCATGCAATATATAAAATGATACTAGCATTAAAACACCATTATATAATTTTTTACCTTTAATTTCAAAATGTTATTTCAACTGAAACTTCACTGATCTTGAAAATATCTAATTGTCATCTGTTTTAACTAAAACATTACAGACTTGGGAACATAAAGTGAATAAAAAAGGATGCGAAATCTTTTTCAGGCAGATAATACTGCCATTTTAAATCACAAATTACAGATAAAATAATACTTTTCTGTTATCAGGATCTGATTCAGAGATGCATGCACGTGTTCTGACACACATATACATTTCTGAATCTGATCCCAATAACAGATTGATAAAATTTTAGGAATACTTGTAAAATAAGCACATTTATTTACAGCATGACAACCACAGTAGTAATAACTAATGAAAACTGTTAAAAAAAGCATAACAATTTTAATGGTTTACTTAATATATTCATAGCTGGATTCAAAAGAAATAAATTTTATTTAAAAGTTTTATATTCCAAGCTAAATTAAGACTTATTATATTGAAACAAGTACAGTGTGCTTCACAAATTAACAGAAAACAAACAAACAAACAAACACACCACACACACACAAAAAAAAAAAAAAAAAAAACATTGAATATTTTTTTTTTAACAGAAAAAGATTTTTATTTCAAATTTTTAGGATTTGCACTTGAATATAAAGGAAATTAAAATATGAGATTCTCAAAATGTTTGTCATCCGAGGAGACAACAAAACAAAGTGTCTGCTTGAAATTCATAATAATCTGGTTAAGTTGATCTGCTCGAATCAGTCTTATCACATTTGTTATTGCTGTTTTTTGCTCTTCTATGTTTTTTGGTCAATCTCTGTAGACTTGATTTTTAACATAACCCCATAAAAAGAAGTCCAGGAGTGATAAGTCAGGGATATGGGGGGGGGGACAATGTCCATTGCCAGAGCAATTCAGGAAGCCTCTTGCAATCACATGTTTGTCATAGTGTAATAGTCCAGGACACCTCCTGATAAATGGTGAGGAGTTCAATTCTGCTAAAACCATGTGTCTTGGATTCAGTGGTTGGGTTAGACATCAGGAATTAAACTCAATAATTTGAGGTAGCATTCAGAACTTACTATCTGGACAAAAATATAGACCCAAAATGCCATCAGCACACAAACCACTCCTGTGGATGAAGAGGCTCGAAAATGACAAGTTCTGGCTTCTTGCTGCTCCACATTTGAAAATTTTTATGACTGATATAGCCATCCAACTAGCCAATATTATTTTCTCATTGGAAAAAATAACGTTGGCAGAATTGTAACTAGAGTTATTTATTTCACACATGATGTTGGCATACTCCAGTCATTTTCAATAGTATCTGGGCTGAAAAATCCCGAGTCAAGTTGATATTGACAACTGTTTCTCTATAACTGTTTTGCCAGCAGTGATGTTTTTGAATATCCTTTTTGTCTTTTGTTTGGTCTTCATGCCCACTATATCAATAGCCACTAAACCTATTCATTCAAATTTCGCAATGAATGCTCTTAACATACTTGAAGATGGTTTTAGCCTATTTTTAAAGGCAAAAGACCACTTCCTGAATGTTTCGACAGATCTCTGGTCACAGAGATAAAAAAGATTTTGACTAAAAAACATGCTCTGGTTGAAAATTGATACATTTTGGTGAAACCCAAAATATTTTTCAAAACTAAACAGAGACCATAAATCAGTTTCCTTTGGGTCCCTTTGCATGCATGCACAATTTCACTAGGCCCACCAACTGACAGGTTATTTAAATAAAAAGTTTGTTATACGCTGTGAAAGCTCCTGTAAATGTAACAACTGTGTGGTTATTAAAAAAGTAATGATAAAAACTTCTTAGACATTTTGAAAATTTTTAAAAATGGGCATTGGCATCTATGACTGTTTAGACAATTTGTGCATTTAAGAAATTGGATTTACAGTGACACACAAGTACAGATCTAGGTAGAACACAACAGAATAAGTAAAAATGATTATCAGTACATCAATAGTTAAATATATGATGAGAACTTATGTTCAGGAAGATACCTGTATGATATGTAAATTTCATTCAAGTATTTATATAACAAACAGGCTGCCTTTGCAATATGCAAATGAAATATTTCAGTATATGGAAATATTCACTGGGACTGCATGCATTCTAAAAAGAGTATGCTATGCCATAAATTGTCAAGAAAAATTACATTTAATAAAAACAAACAACAAATATTTTTCAAAGATAATCTAATATGCATTGAACAACAGCTTATTAAGCATGGTTCATAGTTCTCTTTTTTTTGGGGGGGGGATTAATTCATATAAGAAAAAATTGTTATTTTTGTATTTATTGTTTGAAAATTCCAGTAAAAAAATTATAAATTTTCCCCTATCTCTTCGAATATATTTTATGCAATCATATTTCAGATGATAAAATTAAATAATTATAAAATTTCAATATATTGTATATTTTCTCCCTCAATTTTTAGAAAAAAAGAAGACCTGGTTTGCGAACTCTCAAGAAGTGGAGTATGCCAATTAAGTACATTAAAGAAGCTGATAACAGCAGGCATGAGAAAAGTGAATCTAGAAAAAGAGGAAGAAAGGTATTTAATTTCTCAGAATTTCAAATCAAATACAAAGCACAATGAAACTTGAGATAATTTTCCATTATACAGGATATTTATATTATTGATGTTAATATCTATTATTCAGGCTATCTAAATCAGTGGTATCCAACCGGTTTTGCCTTAAGGGCTACTTTTAATTTTCTGCTGTGCCTCGCAGGCATCAGAAGTTTTATTTTTGAAAAATAACAATTTTGTGAAAATATACAATTTTACCAAATTTTAAGTAAATGCGCTATTTTCCTAAATTTGAAGATAATAATTTCATGCAAATGTTATTTTCATCCCTGGATGATTTTAAATAATAAGGAAAATTAATACAAACCTACAAAAAACTGAAGAAAAACCTATCAAAAAATGCAAATATATCAAACTAATTTAATAAAGAATTAAAATTAGAAAATATACTAATAAACTAATTATTAATACAAGAAAATGTAATTGTTAAATTGCAAATATCTTATTAAGTCATTAACTTGTTATTAATGGGATTTGACTATTAATATCCTCTGACAAATTATTAAAAATTTGGCATATATTCTGAAACACAGCATGGCAGCACACATGGCTCTGGAGTCAACATAGTTCTGTACTTGCTTTTTATTATTTAAGTTAGGAAAAAGCCTGCTCATAGACGAATGGTGACCCAAAATTTCTTTCATTGTTAGTACGTACTTCAGCATGATTTTGTATTTAATACAGTCCATTAGTTTAAAAACTTCATCACTTTCATTATCTGTCCTTTTACGGGTTTTATTAGTAAGAAATTTCAGCATCCAATTTGTTAATAAAATAAAAAATTTTCCACTCAAGAAGTCACTTTTGTTATGTCTTATTCCCAGAAAGAATTTTGTTTGATCAACAGGATGGGTTCCAATAAAACATGTCTTGGAATCTTTTACATTCTGAGCTAAGTAACAGAAAGTTTTTCAACATGCTTAGATGGATCATACTCTGGAATAAATCCCAGGTCTAGAATGAGCGTAAATGATGGAAAATGTTGATAGTCTTTCTCCAATAAGTTGTTTCTCTGCAAATTGACGTAAGCCAGTAAAAGCAGATATTTGAGCTCACCATTTCTGATATGTATTTTCCTTTTCCTTGCAACGTGGTATCGGTTAAAAATGCCAAGTCAGTAAGCCACTTCATGTCATCCAATGTTCGGTCATAAATGCTTTTGGGTGAGAAAAATTTTGTCGACAGCATTCCAACAAAGCTTATTAAAACTTTTCCTCCACTTAATCCCCATACTTCTAAATGGTAAATTATATCACCATACTAACTATCTAGTTCATCAAGCAAACCTTTGAAAAGTTTATTATTCAAAGACCATCCTGGGATAAGATTTACAATGTGTACAATAACAGTCATTACAATGATTGAGACTGAACTTTTTTGCAGCTAGATTTTCCTAAACAAAATGCAGTGGTATGAATGAACTTTGGAAAATGTGTCATCCTACTTACAGAGCCCAGTATTATTCCAGATCATAGCCAGCACACTGTCAGTAGTGATTGCAATGATTTTTTTTTTTTACTGGTACATTCTCTATAAAAATATAATTTTTAACTGTCATCATATATGTCATGACCTCGAGTCTATATTGGCTAAATCATCATAATCAGTAGTTTCTTTCATGGAGTAGGCATAAAACACCATTCTCATGAGCATTAAGAAGGTTATGCGAATCAGTAACATCCAGTGGATTTATTAATTTATAGGGAAAATTATGCACATTTTTCCAAACCAGATCTCATTTGCATTGTAGATGTTGTTCACCATATCATCCACTCATCACGACACTGTATTTTGTGATAGAAGCACATCATTTATAGCTGAGATTATTTTATTTTTGTTTTTAAATTCATGAAATAAAGTGACACAGTCAGCATAGCTTTGCTCACAGTGGTTCATCTAAATATACTTTTTTTATACAATTAAAGAATGTAATTTACTTTGAAGAATGTTTCTGTGTGATTCTTTGCTTAATTTCTGAAAGTAAAAAGATTGCTTTACGCTTAAGCATTTAGAGAAGATTTCAATGATTGAACTTTACATTTATGTAAAGCAGATATTAGTGGGTATTTATTATTAGAATTCTTATACATGTTTTTATGATGACATTAAATTGTTTGGTACTGCTGCTAAACCACTGCATGATAAACAAATTGCTTTTTGCTAATGTTTGTTAATAACAGCTTTTCCTCCTATTCGTTGTTGGAGATTTTTCTCTCTCTTAGATACCTTTGGGACACCACTCATGTTGACAAACACACCACAAAATATATGAAATAATTAGCGTAATTTTAAAACTTGCTAGAAATAGTGCAATTTGATAGTCACTATTGCGAACTTTTATCACCTTATTTCAACTGAACTGATGACTGACAACCACAGGGCAGGATGGATGATTCAATGTTTGTGCAGACGTCCAGCAACGAATAGGGCTTGTTAAAGTAAGCACTATAATCGTAATACTCTGTGTAGATGAAACCATGAAACAGGACTGAGTGAAGGTGATAACAACCAAGTAGGTACACAAACTTATATGCGATTTCTAATCATACCTTTTTAGGGCTGATTTTTACATTAGAATTACAGTAATATTTTTGTCTCGTAGTCATACTGTGACTGTGGCTGGCAGGTGCCAAAGATAGAATTGTGGGTTATCATATGCCCATCAGCCAAAGGTTGGAGACCCCGAGTTGTCCTATCTTTTTTCTTACTTAAATCATTCAGCCAAATAAACGAGATATAATTTATACTTCATCTCTGAATTAAAGTCATGTAGATTATTGATATTAAAAAGAACAAAATTGTATTACATATAATTTTCATTATAGCCTTTCTGGTTTGTGTTAATACAAAAAGTGTCAAAATTTTTTGTTTCATTATTTTTAATGTTGGTACAGTTGTTGGCATGATAAAGACTGAGTCAATAAGTCAGCATGAAACATATTTGATGCAACATCACAATGAACATTACTTTAGGTGTTGAAGGTCATTGATCTGGCACACAATTTGAGACATAAACATACAGGGGGAAAAAAAATCGAAAAGTTTTCAGATTTTATATTATGCCCAAAGAAGTTTTTTTTTTTTTTAAACAGTTCATGTGCTACCTTCATTTATTAAATATCATGTTCTTCACACTTAAACCATAAAATTCAATTCAGTAGCAATATCACAAAATAATTTAAAAAGAGCATATTTTTAGAATTTTCAATACACATTCTCGCAATGGAGATAAAAATAGTTCCCCCCCCCCTCCGTACAGTGTTGCCATTGCTCGCTTTGAAATCGCTGAGTTTTTTTTAATAAAAAATTCATTGAAAGTTTTATAAAATATGAAACAGCTAATAAATCAAATTCCAAATTAGGGCTTCCAGATGCCCATATTAGGGTGAAGGATTGTGGTATTCTAAATTTGACGGCTCTAGTTACCATTGTGTTATCACAATGCGAGAAACATGCTTACATTTATGGAGATATTAAATAATACACAGAGCAATAATATTTGTTGGCAACACTTTGAAAAGGGATATAGCCTTTTAAAGTTTTCAAAGCAAAATGCCAAAATGGAATTAATAGCCCTTCTGGGCAAAAAAACTGATGTTCAAAGAGGTTTTCAGAGATTTATGGCTAGGCAGTTATTCTTATTAAAAAAAAAATCAGTTCTTAGTGTTTCAGAGCAAAGGTGTCTAACCTTTTGCTTCCATGGTTCACATTAAAAGAAGATTACTGCCTAACATTAACAATGGCTAGCGAGGGGGGGACATTTAAGTAATTTAAACTAACACCACTTTTTAAACATTTGGAAATACTGTAGGTATCTGTTATAACTTGAAGACAAGAAATGTTGGAAACGGTAATCTTAATATCCTCATCTTGCCAAGCAATATATTTCAATATACAAACACAAACAATATAACTAACAGAAGATAATCACTTTGAGCAGAAGTTAAGTGCTTTGTTGCTTGCTTCTTCGTCCATAATGATGTTTGCTTAATGTGTTAATTAATAATGAGCTGCATGTGGCTTGGACATTCCTTTCTAAAGAATGATGTTTCTTATTTGCAGATATCTTCCAAAATACTTACTAATGTATTTAAACTTCATTATCCACAATATGCAATTAATTTTCTCTTGATGCATCAACATCAATATACAGCCTGACTAAGATAATGAACATAATGTAAAAAAAAATTAGGTACCGGAAAGCGCAAGCTCATAGAACTTTAGATAACTCTTTTTGTGGAGAAATAAAAAAGGATGACTACATATTATAAAAATGAAAAGACAAATTAAAATAATTTATTTTTAGCAGCAGAAACAGACCCCAACAAAAAAAGTATGAAAAACCATTTTATACACTATTTTTTTAATTGAAACATAAAAGAACAAAAACAGCTACTAATTATTTTCCTTATTAGATATTTTAAACTTGAAAAATGACTGCTCTAAAAACCAACAAACTTCTTGTTTAACAGAAATAATTTTTTGCTGAAAGCACAAAGACTGCAACATATGCTATTTGGCTCCCCCCCCAAAAAAGGCACTTTTTTAATGCAGGAAGTATAAAAGAAATACAAATAGTAATGAAATACTCCTTCTGTTTAAAAATATGGTATACATTTAGAACTTTTATTTGAAATTATGATATACACATTGCTGGCCATTAAAATTGCAACAACATGAAGAAAAGCAAACACAAAACTATACTTAAAAGCGCAAATTATTCCATGCTGCTTTAAGTCTATACCACACTTTATCAACCGTACTAGCTCGGGTAGGATAGCAGGCCAGTCTCTCAACAACCCATGACCAGACGTTTTCAATGAATGAAGATCTGGAGACCGTGCAGCAATCAAATACCCTGTGATCGAGGAAGGTCAGAATAGCATGTCTCAAGTTCAAAAAAGAACTATATGCAACACGTGGTCTTGCATTATCTTGTTAGAAGATGGCATTATTTGGCA